TCACGAGGAACGCGACAGAAGACACGTCTTCATCATGATCTCTGAGATCTGCTTTTTCCCACCATCTCCCCAGATTCCGCGCGTATTTTACTTTCTACTTCTTTGTATGCTCATAGAAAAGGGAAAGTACTATTATATTTCGTATCTAAGGCTAGATTTCGATTTCTGTGGTTTTTAGAAGTCACTAATAAGTAAACTAGAACACGTGAGTAACAAATGTACAGATAACCATATTTATAGAAAAGTAATACAGTGTTATTACTTAATCAAATGACTGAAGTCAATCTTGAAATGCTATCAAATGTCACACAATTTCTTCTTCGAAGAATAGCTATTAGAAAATGCTGTCAATGACATAAACAAAGAGCAACAGTAAGCCTCCTACTAATCGTAAATATTAATAAGAATATATCATGAAGAAGACTTCTCTAGTAACTAGATATCACGTACTTTCAACAAAATCGAGGTATTAACATTTACGAATGGTGGGAGACTTCCTGCTTCTGCTTCCAAAATATTAATTAAATATGAAACAAATGACACAACGTAATGAATGGCAATTATATTTGGTAATAAAAGGACAGATTTCAAAACCGCTTCACTTCACTGAAAATTCAAATGGTCCTCTCTGCTTGAGAGCGGACCGAATGACGACGGCTCACGCAATGGCTTTTCCAGGGAACACTTTCCGTCACATCAGTTAACTTTGTGTAATCATTCTCATAGAATACTCCGGGACCTCGCTCGAAGAAAGTAATTTTGAAACTTTTATGAAAGTTGTGATTTTGTTTGTTTCTAGCTAACACAAACTCGCAAACCTTTTTTAGAATCGAAAATCAGGACGGCGCGTGCTTCATGGAAATAATGATTTGGAATGTAATAATATCTTCGAGACAATTGTTTTGAACACATTGAATAAAATTACAATAAAATTGAGGAATGGCATAGCCTTCATGCCCCCTTCCGGGAGTCCACCGCTGTTCAGTAATCTGTTTTGCCTACCCTGTACATTTGTTTTCGAGACGCCTGTGTAGTCATTGCTAGTCCTATGTTACTTGATAACTGAGGGATGAATTTTTTCCCCTTTGTGGTCATTTTCATTGCTTTCCACATTGCCCTAGAGATTGAGGGAATGATCTCTACACTTGTTTAACTCAAAATGTTAATTAAATAAAAAAATTGGGATTTTATTGTAGGTTTGCTGCATGTATATTTACATTAAAAGTCATAAGAGCTAAAACTAATTGACAGGAAATGTTTGCTTTAAGTAGATATACCTTAGCTTAAGTGGCCATAAATCAGGCATAGCAAGCTGTTTGCCCGTTTGGTGAGCCGGGCGCCCCTAGGAGTATTGCCAACTTCTTCTGACTCCGCATTGATTCCCCTTAAAATCCAGAAAGGGGTGTACATGCGCAAGCTGAAGCGACGCGAGGCGGCAAATAGTGGCTTCATACGAAAATATGTTTGCCAGATTGTTTCTATCAAATAAACGAGAATTGTATTATGTTTACATCCTTCACTACTTATTACTATTTCATGTTTATTTTCTTACTGAATTCTCCCATACTGAACATCTTTGATAAGCAACAGAAATAGGTCTGAATGGCGAATTATTTTCTTGTTTTCGTTTTGTGTTGTGTAATTAAATCATACAGTTATTTATTGTATTTATCAAATGTGAAACAAATTAACAAGTCTCTGTAAGTTAACAATTGTCGCTTACGGGCGGACGGCGTTTTTAAGAGAGAAGAACACTTGCTTGTTAAATATTCTAATCTGAACGTAGAAAGATGCTTCAATATCATTCTGAAGTAAACACGAATACAAAATCAAGATACTTGAATTAATGTTTTTAAAATTTTACCCTGAATTGAGAATTTGAAATAGGACTGGTGAGTTACTTTATTTTAATAAATCACTTTCTCCTTTACAGGGAAAATGCGAATTAATGTAGCTAAATTTGCAACAATAACTGTCAAGTAACTTCTCTCAAAGACTATCATGGGCCAGATATCCAGTGACGAACCGCCTCTTGGTAGCAAGTTGTCCAACCCTTCATTTCAAATCTGGAGCCAATTTCTCTGGACACTCCATTCGAGAACTCTAGTAAGCGGCCGGCGACCTCGACATGCCTAGCGCAACGTAACGCATGCCTACATGTGTTACCAAGCTATTCGAGACCAAATATATTAATATATTGAACGAATGTAAACAAAATGAATACGAAAATGTTTCCATAAAATTTGCAATTTTAAAATTTAACATTACAAAATGAAGTACAATAAATACGTACAAGAGAATTTTTTATGTTAGAAGGAATTCAAAAAAAGCCATGGAAGGAAGCCAAAAAAAATTTACATTACATATACTTTTATTTTTTGCATCTTTAATAAAATACTTTAAAAATTGTACTTGTTAATGATAAATTGTTAAATGTTGATTTTAAATTATTACTGGGGTCCTAAATATTCTCGCCATTAAGAAAATTACCTATTTTTGCTTCTTTTACAATAATCTCACAGACATGTTTTCTGAAAGAGGAAATGTCAAATACTTCTGATCGATTACAACTCACAATCAATTAATGAACAAAAAACAGATAAGCATTCATTAATCGTGCGGGTCTATCAATTTTATGACGTTATTAAAATTTAGTATTTATACTGTAAACTATTAATAATATCAAGCGATAAAAGATCTCGGACACGTTACCTTTAATTTAAAGTCAAAATCACGAAATTTGAATGAGCAGAAAGATTGAAGGTTTTTCGAAGTGAAAAGATTTAGTCTTTTAAATGTAATGAATTTTTCAATTTTAAAAAATTCAGGGATTTTAATGAAAATTGTTACTTTGGCATACTTGTATATGCACTTTCATCTACACGAGCAAAAATATTGAAGAAACAAATTTAGGCATTTACTAAACAATTTTGAAAAATGTCACTGGGGCTTCATGTACGTCCAAAAATTAAAATATATGAATGATGTATTATTACAGAACTGTACTACTAGAAGTTAATCCTGACGTTTTACCCAAAATTAACTCAAACGTTCCTAATCTGATTGTTATACGATACTCACCGATTCATCCTAGTAGATAGACGTTCCGATTTGGGGTACAAAATTGCCTGCAAGCGTTATCAATATTAAACATCTTTGAAATACTAATAGACCTTAATTCTGACGTGTGTACAGATTATCAACTGAAGATCGTCTTATACGGAATTTTACAACCGAAAATTCGAAATCGTATGGTTGAAGTGATTCCCTTTCTAAACTATTTTAGTAAAGAGAGGAAATATAAAAAAGTCTCAGTAGTGTTTAAAAACTACCCGTCAGTACGTGCCCGGGTCCGTGCGTTTCGGGCAAGCGTGGTGTCTACTCGCGGGAGAGGAGAGTCGAGCGGTGTTTGTGCAGCCGACAGCGCCGCTGCGGCGACCGGAGAGACAAAGGGAGGAAGCGCGGGCACGCGTTGGGGTGGGCGTCGGCGTCGGCGCCGCGACGTCCTGCGTGGGAGGCCTGGTTCCGGCCGCTGGCCCCGGCGAAGGCCTGCTGTCCGGTCACGCAGGGCTCAGCTGCTACTCGCGTTCGTGGCAGCGGCTAGCCATCTCATCATGGTGGGAATTAAATTACGAATTTTGGATAAGGAGGTTCCCAGAATTGAGACAAATGACAAAATGCTCATCTAGTATGGTGCGAAATTTGTTATCCATACGCCGAAGTATTATTTGAGTACTTTAGGTCATAGGACTTGAGTATTAGAGAGTCTTAATGTCCAGATAAGTCCGGCTTAACAAGGTTTTTTCTACCTTTGATTATTTTTTATCAAAATTGTAACTATTTATTTTTGACGTGGCGTCAACAAACCTGGACATTAGGTTTCTGAAGGTGGGAAAAGTAGCTGTTGACGACGAGTGGCATTATCTTGCGCGGCGATGAGGAGTGGCAGCACAGGTCCCCAAGAGAGGCGCATCTGAGGCGGGTGCTGCGAGAATGAACCCGAAGACGTCGAAGACGAACTCCGAATGGCGACGAACTTGTAAAATTATTTATTTTGGGGGCTGATCATTATTATATTGTGATAAAGACCACCGAGCACAAGGAAGAGGGAGAAATAAACAAACAGTGTGTCAGGAATATGATGTAATAACTTGTGCAATGTTTGGAAAAGTAAGCTTACGCAGGTTGGCAATGAGTGTGTCAATTCGGTATAAGACGATCTTCAGCTGATATTCTGTACACATGTCAGAATTAAGATCTAGTAGTATTTCAAAGATGTTTAATATTGGTAACGCTTGCAGACAATTTTGTGCCGCAAATCGGAACGTCTATCTACTAGGATGAATCGATGAGTCTCGAATAACAATCAGATTAGGAAACTTCGAGTTAATTTTGGGTAAAACGTCAGGATTAGCGTCTAGTTGTACCGTATCAAGAACAGGGCAAAGTCGATTTAACAAAGTAGTAATAAATTATTAGGGTGTCGCATCTTAAAAGACCAGAGGCTAAATATTCAATTTTCAATTACTTCGAGCATTCAGAATTATTAGTAATATGGATAGCAAATGCGTTTGTTGTTCGGAGCGTACGTCGGTAGGCAAGTAACACGTGCGTAAAAAAAAATTACTTTTTACCTGAAAGACAACCGAAAAAATTATTGTATTTTCTTTTTAAAACAATACGAAGTTCTTTAATGAGAATCTTCCCCTTTCAGAAATAGTGTCACAAAAAAACATAAGTTAAAAAAAGGAAAAATTATTGTAAATAGCTTACGTGTTATCCGTAAAATATTTTAAGTACTATAACCATGCGCAGCTGTTAGTTTAATTCGTCAACATTAAGACATGGTGTGCACTCTGTTACAGCAGCTCCTTCCTTAGGTGTCCTTTGTATCTTCATGTTGGGCCGCGTATGAAGTTTCTTATCTTCATAGCCTTCAGGTCTTACGAATTAAATACTACTAGAGCCACAAGTAATTGCAGGTATCAACAAAAGAAACCATGGTGTAAGTGCTCGCAACACGGAAGACGAGAGGAAATGCGCCAACGAGACGTCCAGCCTTCGCGTCCAAGGGCGCGGGTCCGGATGGGCTCTTAATCGCTGACGGGAAGTGCCCTCCCATTCATTAGCATTAACCCTCTCTCTTCCGACGAACGAGCTCTCGTCGATGCTCCGCCCTCTCTCCTAGCCTCACGAAGGTAAAACAGCAGACACACGATACAAGAAGTTAATGCGGGGTTTGTTATGAAACGCGACGTAAAGTACGTGGAAGTAAGGACCTGGGGATACACGCCTTGGGAATCGTGCTCACCTTCCATCAAGAGCAGGGCCTTCGAGTGTTGATTCAGTGCACTTACCTTTGTTTCCCAGGAAACAACACTCACCTAAAGATCTCATTTCGGAATACGGTACTGTTTATCGCCGTAACGCAACCAAACTCTAGGAACAAACAAAAACACTCCAATAATCGCTGTTCCTTAAAGAACATAAACTTATTTCTAAAAATTCTCTACACACAAATAAGACTTTTAATAGTAATGCATACAAGATGGGACGTTTAGGTAAATTAGTAGAATGTCTGACTTCTGTTACACTTAAATATCTCATGAATACTGTTAAAATTTAACCTGTGTCTCTAAAACTTAGTTTATCAGTATTGTTAAATGGATAGCTAATAGTCCAATGTTTACAACTCATAATTTTTTTCAATTACAATGTTATTGTCTATCAAAATGTTAGTTAAAACACGTAAATATTTCACCGTAGCTTGTTCATATTAGGTAGTTAAATTCAATTTTTAAATTTTTCCTTATACTTCTTCATCATCATCATCATCACCATCATCTCCTCACGGATTAGGAGGGAGTCTCAGGGAGTCTTCTGTTCCGCCTTAAGCATACCTTCTCAATCTTGGATGACCGACATGCCTTTTACCATGAGGTTTGTAGTGATATATTTGTTATAGAATGCGGTCACTACTCAATCTGTATAGATGTTGTGACCATCGGGTCCTGCATTCTTGCATTTTATTTATTAATAGGAGAACTTCTAATTATTCTCTGATTATCACTCATTTTTTATTTTGTCTAATATAGTGCAGCCTTTGAGTCAAGAAACTCATCTCAGGCGTCTGAAGTCTGGTAAAATCTTTCTTTTTCATGATCCACGTACCGCATTCATAAAGAAGTAAGGGGATAGCCATTGTTTTATAAATTTTAAGTTGTGTTTCCTTTCTTACTTTCTTTCTCAGATATTTTATGGGGAAGTTAATGGGGAATATACATCCGATACACCGATGTTCCTTGTATAAATCCACATTGTTCTTCTAACAATATATTGTTCTAGAAGAGTTGTTAATTTGCGGTTATTAATTTTAGAATATATATATATATATATATAATATATATATATATATATATATATATATTATTATATTAAAATAGAATAAACGAGAGAAATTATCGAGGAATTACCTTGCTAATTCGTAATACAATTTTAGGATTGTTGAATGTGGCAAATTCTCGCAATTTCTCCTCCATTTCTGTTAACACATAGTTCCCTACAACGTTTTGGAAAGGTTGTTTACCTACCCTACCATTCAGATCTCCCTCTATAACTGTCTTTATACCTATTTTTGTAGTATTTCATAAAATACTTTCGTGTAGTCTGTTTTGCCTTCTTTTGGAGCATAAACTCCGATTATGGTTAAATAGCCTCTTTCTATTTTAAATCTTATCAGTATCCGATCCCTTATGAAGGTATAACCATGTATTTTGGGTATCTACATTTTATTAATTAAAATAGCTATTCCACTACTGGCTCTTTCGTTTTGTTTTTTCGCATTGTAAATCATAAATTAATACTCTAGATCTTTTGTTCCTAGCACTTCATCTTTTTTTCTAATATTGCAGTTATATTACTTTTTTTAATGATGTTAATGTTCAAATTCCTTTTCTTTATTTTTTATTCTTCTAACATTCCATACTCCCTTCTTAATTCTATCGTGTATTCCCAGTCGTTTATCCTTTATCTTGCTATGGTAATCAACATTGTGTTTAACCGGCTTGGCTTGTTGGAGAGTGTCAGTAACTTTGAATTCCCTATAACAGGTTACGAGCCTCTTTATGGGTAAGTCTAGTGATGGGGCTGCCATCTTAATGCCTGTAGACATGAACTGTCATTTGATATGGGAAAGGTTCCTCTTGTGCCAGTAATGTCGTTCCAGAGGTCT